AGCATTTTCGACATCTGCTTTTCATCGAGGTCAATAAGCAGCCGTAGCCGCTCGGGACATATGCAGTGTGTGTGGCCCCAGGAGAGACAATGAAGCAAGAGTCAAGCAAGACCTCCGCTCAAAAAAGGGTTATGATTTGCGTTTGGTGGGACTGGGTAGGCATGGTGCACTGGGAAATGCTCGAGCGAAACGCTTCTGTCAACAAGGAGGTCTACATTGCCCAGCTAAACCGTGTTAGTGAGGCTATTCGGCTGAGAAGACCCGATAGACAAGGTCAGGTCATCTTACTCCACGACAACGCCAGGCCCCATAATGCCTAAGTCGTCAAAACAGCACTCCAAAAGCTTGAATGAGTGGTTCTTCAGCATCCACCGTGCTCTCCGGATCTTGCACCAACCGACTACCACCTTTTCTCTCTTTGTCAAACCAGATGAGGAGCGTTACCTGCGATGGCGAAGTGGTCCTTAAAAACTGGCTCAACAACTTCTTCGACCCCAGACCAGCCGATTTTTGGCGAAACGGCATCAACAAGTTGGTCGAGAGATTGGAAGAGGTCGCAAACAATAATAGGAGGATACATCATTGATTGAATTATTACTATAATTACTGTTTTTTGTTAAAATAAATCATTGTGGAAAAACTCTACGAACTTATGTTACAACCCAATATATGTAAGCGAGAGAAACGGAGAGCTCCCTCGCGAATGCTCTGAAAAGTAGTTGCGGTAATCTATCAGAAGTTAGAGAAGGCGATGGCTTCAATTAGCGCAAGATCTTATGCATGATTTCCGGAGTTACGATTGGGAAGTCCAGACGATTATTTGTGATAAAGGGTAGAGTTTTTGTACTTGCGGAGAAAGGGACGAAAACACTTTCAAAGTAGTCCGCGAGGGCTTCAGACTTTTCCCGTTCTGCAGAGTATTTTTCCCCGCTGCGGCCCTCGAGAACATGTGAGACTGATGACTGTTTGAGGAATTTGTTAGCATAAGTTGCCAAATGTTTGAAGTTACCTTTTTGAACCAATTTCTTAATCCTGTAAGCCTGAAAGCGCTTTAAGTGGTGGTCTAGCTCAGTGTTGATTTCAAGAAAAGCACTTGAATTCAAAGGATCATCGGTCATACGGAAGANGTGACGAGGATAGTTCGCATCACGCCTCGACATAAGTTCAAAGAAACAAGTTGATTCACTATAGCGTGCATGATGCCACAAAACTTGTATAAATATCATCTAGACTGTGGTAATCCAAAAACAATATCATTCAGTCTATATGTGCGATGTGATATGTGATGACACCTTTGTTCATCCCACTGAAGTCCTTTGATGTTTGAGTTACTTCCTCTTTCTGACAGCTCACCAAGAAAAAGTCACAATGTTATGATCGGAGAAGTATAAGGGAGGCTTGAAGTAGATTTAAGAACACTACGCCGAAGTGCTAGAACAATATTAAACCTTTTGTCGAGTCTAATGGGGAAGTCTACGAATTGTGTGAGCGGTAAGGCATCGAATATCGACAAAATTTTTCAGCAGTGGTGGACCATGCAGTGTGGGTTCTCCAACCGATGTCAAGAGTTAGGTCCCCCCACCACTGTTGTGGAGAAGGGCACCGAACACTAACTATAATCGATATAAGGTGTTCATCCGGGGCACTCGTGGAGTTGGGTGGACGATAAATCAATAGAAAACGGTGCCTGGATGGCAGGAGGGTGTCAGAACATAACACATCATCAGACATTAGGTCACCAGCATGGGACACTATTCCTTCAAACGATACTAGGCAGTGGACTAGAACGCATACCCCACCTCCTTTATGGCCGTACCTGTCTTTCCTGAGTACAGAATATGGTAAGTCGGAGGAGATCTCGGAGTTAGGAACTTTGCTAATACTTAACCAAGATCAAGTTAAAAACACTATATGAGATTTTGAAGTACTTAGAAGGCAATGTAGATGTGGCAACTGGAAAATGAGACTACGAGCGTTAATCAATAAGCATCTGGAACCCAATAAAGGTCCGAGAGGGGATTTTTTGAAAAAACGAGTTGTTTCGCTTAACTGCGCGAATGTCAGTTGCTCTCATGAGATGGCCTTTGTAACTACCTGAACGAGCTCACCATTGTGCTCCTTTTGATTCAACTCACGTGCTTGGTTTCTTAACTCTTTCTCTTCTTGCGCTCCTCAGGTGTCATTGATTTCCGAACGTAGATCTCCTTAAAGGCAGGGATGGCAAGCAGTCTACGAGCTCTTGACAACACTTCAAAAAGATAACCTCGAGATGAGAAAATACATTTTACGAGCCTGGGCTTTCCTTGAACCACCGGACCCATCCGATAGAATTCTACCGTCAAGAGCAGTCTCGATGTCAAGAGCATCGAGGACACTATAACAAACGATTCGGTATGTGCCTGGCGCTGGGATGAGGTAAGACTTTTCGGCCCTTTGAAAACCATACAGAACTATTGACTGTTGGCGTTTGTCCGATTCAACCACTTCACGTGAAAACAGTGAACTCACGAACTGTTCCAAAAGTGGAATCCCTTCTAGAGCTTTTTCACTCAATACTCCATCAATTGTTTCAAGAAGGCGAATACTGTCGGGACTAAAAAATGGGAAGTTTGCAGCCTTAGTGACTTCAAATGAATAGAATAAAGTCTGGGGCCTAGGCAGATTTAGAATTTGACTGGAGTCCATCGATCAGTCAACCGGTCACGGCGGATGCAGGCACGTGAATTGAACAGATCAAGATTAACGCTCGTATCATTGGTGGTGCTTTGAGCAAGTTTCGCAATCTTTATTAGCCGACAGTCAGTCTACTGCGATGTTTAGACCAACGTCCAAAAAGCTGACTCTCCCCAAGCAACTTTAGATAGCCGTTCGCAGAAGAGCAAAACAAAAATCAAGTGACTTATCGGGTTCGTAAAACCCGGCCTAAAATTGAGCAAAGACCTAATCATGCTGGAGTGCTCTGCTAAGTAATGAAAAAGCGAAGGAGAGATCTAAAGCTCCACTAATTGTTGGCCTCAATTCGGGGAGCAGTTTCGAGATCTGCATGCATGATCATGGTTCAGATTCCTTCACA